GGGCCGTTTCACCCCGTCACGACATTTTGGGGTTACCCCGTACGCCGCATCCGGTAATTCAGCTAAAGCAGTTTTACTTAAGTAAACCAACTATGCAAAACCTTCAGCCATTTTCCTGCCAAGAACGTTGGAAGACAAGGCACGTAATACTACAAAATAAAAAAAAAAAATTTCTAAGCCTCATTTAAGAATGACTGCCAGAAGATTACTTTTTTTTTTTGTGAGACTCGGAATTGCTCATCATAACAGGCTTTATCGCCAAGGGCAAAAAATTATTTGTCTCTCTACTTCCCCAGACAAATTCTTAGAGGCTCTCAAAGCATGTACCCAGTCAGCTTTAAATCAACACAGGTTTAAAGGACCATGTATGACTAACAAATTAAAGAGGTCTTTGTAAATCACTGGCATTAAAAACTTTTTTTTTTTTTTTTTGCTGTCTTGTATCTTTCACTAGCTTTTAGTGTTAGTCACTTTTTACCCACTGTAAAACAAAAACGAAATGCAACTTTTCAGGTCAGTGTACAGATCAGTCTTCTATAACCACAGAATGAAAAAAACAAACCCAACCCTCCCACAAAACTAACCCTTGCTTCCTCTGCTGCTCACTACTATGGCACACACGGCAGTTAAGTCTGAGACACCCCTCTCGCCGCCCTGTAGCTTGCTGCAGCCCTTCAGCCACCACCGCTCTCAGAAGGAGCTTTCAAGCCTGCCAGCCTACCAGCCATCACCTCAGCTGAGATAACCAAGCATTACGACTGAAATTTGGTTCTCCAAACCCCATAATAAGCAGTCACACATCTCATGTGCAGTCTAACTTATGTGGAAAAGGAGCATCTAAGGATAAAACAGTCCTGAAACACTGCAACATGCCTATACGCATCAGTTCCCTAAAACCCAATGCTTTTTTAATTCTGGGAAGCACTAAACCTTCCAAAACACTTCCAACCCTGATAAATGACCCTCCTCACTCTTTGGTTTTTGTTTTTTCCTTATTTCCCCAACTGACCCTGTGGTCAACATACAAGATATACATTACATGTGGAAGTTGGCCACTGTCCATAGATAATGCATGTTTTTATCCCTTGCTCTCCAGCTTAGACTAAGTGCTGTTCCCAGCATGACATACCTCTAACACCAAAATACCAGCAAAGGTCATAGACAATCTAGAATATTCACAATGAGACTCTCCATCACAGTCATAACAAAAGATTGTTGTGTTAATGTACAGATTTTTCTTTGGATGGGTAGATTTATTTTGACAGAACTCACCTTGTGGCTGTAGCGTTTGTGACAAAGGACCAGACCGGTGGAAGTAAACATAGGAGTTTATAAAGCACAAGTTGAGAACAATAAGAACAGTACTGTCTGCAACATTTTTGCTATTTAAAGGATTATATATGTCACAAAAGTCCAAAGGGCTGGTGACACCACAGCTGACTGTGTGCAAGAACTAAATTGCACGTAAGCTATACTGAGCAACCACCTGCAAAATCACACACTTCCACAGCTGGGCTACTTCCTGCTCTCTGTCTTGCTTTCTCCTCAACAAGTGCACAGGCCTAACCCCACCATTATTTCTCCTGTTGTATTCCAGGTTCTCAGGGAGAGCCTAGGGGAGGTTCAGAGCCACAAACAGGAAAACTGACATAATATATAATTTTAAGAACTTAGGATGTAATCCTGTCCTGTAAGATCACTCTCCTTTCAATACACAGCTTTAGATAAAAAAAGAAAGGATCTAAATGTAATGTATCCTCCAGACAGCAAATTGCTTGTTGTCCCTGTATTTCACACATTCTATGTAACAGCCTTCTTTTTGTGGAGGAAAAAAACCAAAATATCTGAAATTGTTTCCAGTTCAGTGCTGGATGTCAGCATTTTAAATTATTTGTTTCTTTGCACTGTAGGAAGGACATACTGGAAACTTTCCTTCTGCACAACAGTAATGGCACTGTGGCAGTCAAACATGCAGCTGCATGCTTCTGTCTACTTGCTATTACCACTGGGTATATGGAAGAGACAAAAAGAGCAGAGAGCTAGACGAATTAAATTTTCTACTTGTCTGACTGAAGTATTAGGGTAAAATGTATTAAGTCTGGAGCAAGGACTAGGAGCTTTAAGCAGCACTCCATACAGAATAATGAAACTTTGTCCCAGAGAGAAGATACTGATTAACTCTGCTCATTAACACCTCAGTAATCTGCACCTGGCATACCTTTGCATTCCTCTTTATTTTAAGAGGCAAGTCTCAAATCGGGAAATACTAGTCTGAAGCAGACTGAAAGTCAGCTGGACCTGGACCTCACAAGGATTACAAGGCATATATATGAGAATGAACTTTGCTAAGTCCAGAATGGTAGGAGTTGGATGCAGGAACTGTGGATATTCTCTCCTGTCCAGGACTCTCACGCACAGTTGGAACTAGAAATATACCCCCTCACCTCTACGTAGAGCCAGAAAGTGAAACTCTGTACAAATGAGTTGATTTTTTCCTGCTTCATGAAAACAAACTGATGCCAAAACATATTTTTTAAATCTACAAGGAAGAGTAGAACATTCTGCTTTTCCCAGTACACCCAAGGTGGAGAACTGCGTTTTGGACTTAACTGCTTTTACAAATCACTCTTTTCCCTGCTTAAGTCAGTTTATTTTATGCTTAGTGTAGTAAGTGACTTGAGCATAGGATCAGCAAAATACATATATACACACACATATATGCATATATATGCATGCATGTATTTTTTTTTTTTCCTCTTGACCAGTCAATATTCAGATATCTCTGTACCTTGTTCAGGACTTTCTTATTTGAGTCCAACAACATTTGGGCTCTAATAGGACCAAACAGCTCTCTCTTTATTTGTTCATCATCTTGCCCCGGTATCTTTTATTATTTTGAGCGTATCAGGATATTCCTGATTAGAAGTCTGACCAGAGTCTTTTTGTCACTACTCTTTGTTGTGTTTATCCCCTATTGTTTGTGCAATAAAGTGATCAAAACCAAGTTACAGTAAATTCATCATCATCTAGTTTCAATCAATAGCTATGTAAAGACACAAACACTTACTCTTTCATACCAAAAGCATTGTGCCAGAAGCAGAAGTGATTGTTTCTGATCTACCTTTTGGGGAGGCTGAAGAAGTTACCATTACAACACAGCAGTACAAGAGCAAGCACTCCTCTAAACACGGCCTTTAATCCTCTAGGAGAGGAAGGTTTCATCTATCTGTGACACTGCTCTCACCTAGGGGAAAAAATTGCATATTTTACTCAGTTTTTTAAAAAAACAGTAAAAGAAGGAAGGTTAGAATTTACATGAGAAAGTTTCAGGAAACTGGTAGTATGAAATTGTAGCAAAGGACATTTTTTCAACATAGTATCACTAAGAAAGATAAGGCAGAAAACAAAGATTTGCAAAAAAAAAATGTATTTTTCTTAGAAGTCCTTTCTTATTTTACAACTATAAAAAGCAATGTTTAAAATTCAAAGTCCTGGAAGATACTCTGAAAAAACTGGCTTCTAAAGCACAAGACACCTCTGCGACAACTCCCAAACAATGTCACAACTCCTGAAAATCCTGCATTCAATGAGCAAAGGTATGATCCAGATCAAGTAACCCCTTTTAATGACATTTTAAACCCCATAATCCAACAGTTGATCTGACCAGTCTCTAAAGAATGTGTAGAGGCACTCTGTGCCTAGAGAGCAAAAGGGTTGGCATGAATTGTAATATCTTTAATATGAACATCATTAAGAGGTCGGTAGGTTTTCTCATTCACAGGCAGCTTCTCCAGCTCATCCAGGGTCTCCAAGCCATCAATAACTCTGGAAGAAAACCAGAAGTGCTGGGAATCTCCTTCTAATAACAATTTAATTTTCACAATTTTGGTATCTCAAAGCACTTTACAGTCAAGTATCATAGGGCAAGGACCTTGCAAGCAAATGGTACAAATAAGACAGCCAAAACATTATATATGGCGTATAATGTATTTTGAAAGGAAATACTAAGCATCCATGAACGTGTCTGACAAAAAGTTCAAATAATTCCCACTAACCTGACAGTATCATATTTTATACCAACTACAGCTGTGTAAAGACCCTGGCTGCACCTCCTGGTAGGCAGGACTGACCAATCACAGTATAGGTTTAAGTAGCAGCAAGATACTGGCCGTACCAAACTTCACTGTGAATTACTGAAATCCTATGGCTGGAAAATCAATTTCCAAATGTGATATTGTAATTTCTAAACTTCTGATTCAAAGACAAGATTGGACAGATTCATTAACAACTGTGTAAATCTAATGGCACAAATAAGTTTATGCTTTCAGATTTCCTATTCAGGCTGAAGAAGTGGCATGAGAAATTTTCTAACAAACTTCTTACTTTTTTGTTTAAATAACGCTCTGATAAATCTTGGCAGTTTATTCCCCAGTAATGGACTTGGCAGAAGACATGTTGTGCTATTCACAGTTCAATTCAGTCACATTCATCAACTCTTTTGAATCTAGCAGGCTGGATTCTGGGCCAGCAGCGACTGCATATGCTGTTCTGCTGATTCTGCAACTGGGGCAGGAGTGTCTTAAACTGCCACAGAAAATCTGGCAAAGTTCATCTGTCAGAGCTTCTGCTCTTTGCTAAGAAAGATGTCTAAAAAGACCTACTTTCAATCACACTTCTAAACAAACTCAGAAATGAAAGGAACACATATACTTAGATGCCTATAAACAATGCAAGTGGTAGAAAACAGTGTTTTCACATTTCAATAGCTTCCTTTGAATATTTAACTCCATTTAATAAAGGCAAATTTTTCCTCAGCAGATTCACTTGTGCACTAGAGACTTTTTAACAACAAGTAAAAGAAAAGACATGACCACTATTTTGAGACAGAAAAAGCAGTTTGGAAGACTAAAAAATTAAACATTTGCTTTAATGATGATATGTTATCAGTAGTGTCTATTAACAGAAGAATGTTTTAAAATAATGATGCATGTTAAACAACCTCATCTGATTTTATAAACTGCCAGTTCCATGAATTTTATCTGACCAACACCACCTAAACAGAAGCAGGACCTTGTTGGTACCACATCCATCCCCAGATCCAATACCAAATCAGATTCTTGGCTTCTCAGTAAACCCTACAACTATGTATCCAGTTGTTCTGGAGTTTGCTTAAAATCAGGCTGCATTCGTTTGGGCATGGATGAATAGGCAAGCTGGAATAACTAGGGGGGAGGGGTAGGGAGAAAAAAAAAAAAGCTCCATTCTTGAGGTAATTTTTAATATGCATATTCCCCCTGAATTCCCTACTACTAAGAAAAATGGAGCAGCATTTCTGAGCAACTAATTCTGGTGACAGTGCAAGAGCATACATTTACATGCATTTACAACAAGAGTTTTAGAATCAGAAGCTTCTAAATTTGCATTGCATGTGCCCTGAAGTATTCTGGTCCTTCACGCACTATGATAAGGAGGCAGGCAGTTGGATCACTTACTTTCCAAACACAGTGTACTTCATGTCTAGGTGCGGTTGCTTGCCGTAAGTGATGAAGAACTGCGACCCATTGGTATTCGGACCATTGTTTGCCATTGAAACTACCCCACGGACACTGTGCTGAAAGAGGGGAAAAACCTCAACATGAATACACATCCGTGAAGGCAGGACTTTAACCTGTATAAAGTGCTCTGTGACTTAGTACTCTGCCTCAATTCCATTATTAAGAACAAATCTTGGTTGCTAATATATACCATCACAGTCTATAATTAGCTCTTCAAAATTGCTCTTACAATGAAAAATTACTTCTTTGCCTTCAGTGCATGAAAAATATGTTGTTACAAATTCCTTCTACTTCTGTTCCCAGTGATGAAAACCCCCAAACCTAACTTGCCAAGTACAGAAATGCCTGTTCCTATTTTTTCTATCCCTTTATTGCAGGATTATACTTTGCTTCACAATTACAAAAGAAGTATTTAATACACTACAACACAATGCTGACTGTTCTCCAACCTGTAAAGAAAATTCATATGAAAACATAACTGCATATTGAGAGCACAGAAATACCTTTAGGTATTCACTGAATTCATCTTCAAACTTCTTGCCCCAGATGCTGTTACCTCCTTTCCCAGTGCCTGACAAAGAAGCACCACAATAGACTATTCAATTTTCAGGCTGAAAACTGCACAAAAGATGTACCATTATAACATTCTACGACAAAGACCCTAGATACACTGTAATTCGTTTGAGACAGGGATCGGGTTCTCATGTCTTCATACTGAGCAAAGCTATAACCCTATATAAGGAACACCTATTAAACAGCAGAACAAAACACTGAACATATCCTCAAACTAAATTCACTATGAGTGCAAACAGACACACAATTGAATCAGACTTTCTCCCGAACAGTTGACACTGTCTGAGACATTTTCCACGAATGCTTTAGAAGCAGTGTAGCCTTTCAGGCAGAAAACAGAGGAAAACACAGTAGCAACTGCTACCTATTCAAAAGCTGGCAAGTTGGCAGAACCATCATATTTAGTGGAAACAGCTGGAAAAACTAAGGTTTATAGAATGTTTTACTAGTACATGATTATTTAGAGCTAGGGTAATGGCTGCTCTTCTGTAACTTCACAACAGAACACTAATTTCATCATAGAAACCCCACCAAAAATACTATAATTATTGTATTATTTTTACTTTATTAATGTTTTTGTTTTAATGTTGATATTTATAATTTATTTGAATTTCCTGATATTTATGTTTTATGTACATTCTTCTATACAGAGACCCTGACAGAAGAATTTACCTTGTGGATCGCCTGTCTGAACCATGAAGCCCTTTATATTCCGGTGAAATACACAGCCATTGTAGTAGTTACTAGCACAAAGAGCCAGGAAATTCTAAGGAAATGAAACAAGCCATATTAACAAACAACTCAGAAATAGTATCCTCTTATTACAATGACAGCATGGGCAAGACCAAAACTAACCCTTTTGCCTCTGCTCTGCATTGTGACCATGTGAATTCCACAGAGTATTACCACAGAATAGTCATAAACGAATTAGTTAATATGCTCCTTTGACATTGTCACAGATAGAAAGGATTTTAAATAAAGTTTATAGCACAAGGTTGTCTGACTTGAGGAACAAACAAGAAGCCTAAGACATGCCCTGAAGTATCACTTCCATTCAACATTTTTATTTTGTAAATGTAATATTGTAATCAATAACTTCATGCCTCAGCTTTGTTAGTTAAAAAGCAAATTATTTCAATTTAAGCTTAAGTTTATTGCAGAAAGGAAAACCTGGGGCCTCTGACAAACTGGAAGTGATTCTCACTCTTTTAAATTAAAATAAAGTTTGCGAGTGTGAGCAAACCTACAGAAATTTGGGAATCCCAAGCCATGTGCCATATTTCTCCTTAAGGGCAAAGGACATCTTGTGAGATGCTAGCACTTGGGAGAGAAGCGGTCCTTAGCCAAACCTTAGCTGGCAAGAAACAGGCAGCAAAGCTCTAGGCAATATGAAAAAATGCACAAGTACACACTACACAAGTTCCATGAGTGGAACAGGCACTGTATCAGCTTAAAATGTTAATATTCCATTATGTGAAAAGATGAATTGCAACAGCCACTTCACCTTCTCTACAGTCTTCACTGTTTCTACTGCTTTGTTTCAACTCTAGGCAATCCTGCTCCTCTTACTTGACTTACTTCGCAAGTCTTTGGTGTGCGCTCACAGAATAGCTCAATTTTAATATCTCCTACATCAGTATGCAGTGTGACAGCCTGAGAAAGAGGCAGAAAATAATAAATCAGCAATGAAATACTAGCAAACTCAGTTTTATTTCCTAGTCCCACTAAGAACATAAGCAAGTTCCCACTACATATAAATGTTGTTTCAATATTTGGCCGTAGGCAAGGCTACTGTCACAAACGTTACAGATCCCCAGTGAAATCACCAGAAAGCACTTGGTTTCATTTCATTTCAGGACAAATCAAGTTTGCCATGGTAATGCAGAAGCTCTGTTTCATGCTGTTACACTCCAGAAATAGATTACTCATTTGCAAACTGGACCTACTCATTTACTCAACTGCAAAGTTGAAGAACCAAATTTATATCTATTTCAGGAGATCATAGTGAGGTGCACATACACCACTGGTTTACAACCACAGAAGCAAAAGGCCTGCAGCCTTTTGAGTGATAAGGCTAGTTCTGAATTGCACTGTATATAATCTGCCTTCATAAACAAGCAAATCTACAAAATAACACGCTTTTCTTATGAAGGTTATTTATAAATTCTTAAAATTTAAAATGGCAGTTACCCAGCCACTTAAGGAAATGTACCTCTATAGGCCCAGTATATCACAGTGCTCCCATAGAAAGTGCTAAACTATGCAAAAACAATTACTGTGGGGCTATACTAGGGATAAGCATACAGAAAAAGTAATAAAAATCAGCATCACATTGATACTAGCACACTGTTCCAGAAGCATACAAGTAAAAAAAAAGATAATTGCCTGCAATGTCTATGAAGATGCTATAAAAAGTGTATATACAGTTTAAGACATACAGTATTATCTCTATGTCACGATCTGCTAAACTTTTAAAAGCCTGCAAGTGTAGAAGGTTACATACACTCAAGCAGGGCTATGTGCTTGCAACTTGAATAATGCTTCTGTGGTAAAAGAAACCGAAGCAGATTACTAAATATTAACCAAAGTAGGATTAAAATTTAGGATCTTAGAACTGGAAGTCTAATTATATTTTAGACTGATGAAATAGTACATTGACCTATCTTCCTTTTCACAGTATCTCTTGTTAGAAGTCTGAAATGAAAACCTAAGCTTTTGATTACAAATTCTTCACAGCATCAGAGTAAAAGGTGTAATCCTTTGAGACGCAGGGCAGCTTTTCACTTTCCAAGAGATGACCACTTCAGAAAGAATGAAAATATATAAAAAGTGCTATTGTTCTCACCATGTCTACTTATCAAAAAGCTGAGGTAGATTTGTATGCAGCAGTTTCCTGCAAAGAAAATATATGAAATTTGTTGGGTTTTTTCCACCGATCCCCAATTATTTTTGATTCAAAAAATATTTGTCTGGTTATATGCTTTTACACTACACAGTTTTGCAGTGCCATTCAAGCGACTCAGCAGATAACCGTTTTACTTGCATTATACAACTACAGAGCATATAAAGAACTAGAAAAGAGTAGAACAAAATAGCTTAGAAAAAACACCCCTTCCTAAGATGAAAGTTTATACTAAGAAATCACAGCTTTTCCAAAGATTATGGTTTTATAAATGACAGAAGTTAACAGATAAAAACCACCTAGTACCTGAACAGAAGTGTGATTTGGAGCCACCCTCTGACGGCTGTCA